AAAGTGAGGGGAGGAGGCGCAAAACTCAATCTCGCCTAGGGCAACCAAAGGGCTAGAACCGGCCCTGGGTACGAGCCTCTTTGGAGAGAAGTGAGGCAGAAAGGCTGAAGGCTGTAGAGAAAAGCCAGACCCTTCTCAGGAAACTAGAGATCAGGGATGATCACTAATACCATCAAGATTACATCCAATAGTTTAACCTGGAGATTCAACAACTGGAAGAAGAGCTTCAAGAAAAGAGGAAAGTAGGGCTCCAGGCAGAAAAACGGAAACTAAAAGAAACTCAGAGCACATCCAAGGAGGTCAACCAGAAAAAACTTCAACATGACATCCAGCAGCTGGAAACGTTGCTCTAAGAAGAGAAAAGATTGAGGCTTCAAGCAGAAACTGAAATCTCTAATCATGTAGAAAGCGTCAGCGCTTTGTGTCAAGAACTTTATCAAGAAGTCATAAGGGTACAAGCCTCTTTGGAGAGAAGTGAGGCAGAAAGGCTGAAGGCTGTGGAGAAAAGCCAGACCCTTCTCAGGAAACTAGAGACCAGGGATGATCACTAATACCATCAAGATTACATCCAATAGTTTAACCTGGACATTCAACAACTGGAAGAAGAGCTTCAAGAAAAGAGGAAAGTAGGGCTGCAGGCAGAAAAACGGAAACTAAAAGAAACTCAGAGCACATCCAAGGAGGTCGACCAGAAAAAACTTCAACATGACATCCAGCAGCTGGAAACGTTGCTCTAAGAAGAGAAAAGTTTAAGGCCCCAGGCAGAAACTGAAATCTCTAATCATGTAGAAAGCGTCAGCGCTTTGTGTCAAGAACTTAATCAAGAAGTCATAAGGGTACGGGTCTCTTTGGACAGAAGTGAAGCAGAAAGGCTGAAGGCTGTGGACAAAAGCCAGACCCTTCTCAGGAAACTAGAGATCAGGGATGATCACTAATACCATCAAGCATAACAGTGTCATATCTGTTTTGTTGACCAACAAGTTATTTAGCTCTACCATTTAAGGGAAGCTCACTTTGTTGTAAAATCGCACGCTCATTCTTTTAAAGTTTGAAAAAATAAAAGAATAATAAAAATAAAAAAGTAACTCTGCCTGAGTATCTTTTAAGGTTACTTTGCAGGTCCTAAGCCCGGATAAAAGAGGTGGGTTGAATGGAGAGCGAGAAATTTCACAACACAAAACCAAGAAATACGTAAATGGCTTATGGCAAATTTCCAACAAAACTGAAACATTGATTGTGCACCCAATGAAAAAACCCAGGAATTTGAAATTTCACACTGCAGCCTAGATAATAAATACTAATTGATCACATTGGAGAAATTTTCCTAATTTAACCCATCCCCTTGGGGATCAGTGGGCTGCCATCGTGCGGCGCCCAGGGAGCAGTGTGGAGTTAAGGGTCGATATTCAGGAACCCAGAGTGGAGGCTGTTGGGATCGAACCGGATACTTGCAACGTTCTCAGAGCACAAGCGCACTGCCCTAACCACAAGACCAACACTCCCCCAAAAGTGCCAATATGCCACCAGTATTTCATCTTTTCATAATAATCTTCTTTTCAAATGCAACCAGTGTCTAAAGTCTAGAGGCGGCCTGAAAATATTGGGTTTATTTACCTGCGTAAAGACTGAGAGGAGAGAAGAACCTAGCGGATTCACAGAGTGGACTTTCAAGCTTCAAAATGAGAAATATTGTTGAGTGCTTCAATGAAAATTTGTGTACATCTAAACATAGAGAGGTGTTTTTTTTAATGGTCAAATTAGTCATACAATTAAAACTAGAAAAAGCTGTTTCGGAGAAACAGCCAGTGAGAATGCTTCTGCTCAATGAAAAAAGCTGAAATTACCTGAAGAACAAATGAAAATGTGATAGGAAGTCATCAGAAACTTCAAACTGCAGAAAACAATTGAATCATCTGAAGATTTTGTAGGGTAGAATCATTTGGCATTAAAATGGCAGAAACAGAATCATCTTAAGAGCTGCTCAGCCAAACCATACATGATATCAACAAATGTCTTTTAAGAAATTTTGAAGGGGGGGGTCACCTACTGCACAGAAATATGTCAGGCGTGTTATGAATTAGCAGCAAACAGAAAAGCTTAATTCCTGTCTAGAAAGAGAACAGAATGAAGCCAAAGTTCACAGCATAGGCTAAATAGTATTAAATTAGCTGAATCAGAAAAGAAATAACAAAGAAAAACTCGAATCTTCTCTGGTTGAACAAAAAAGGAAAAGCTTAAGGATGGGAAATAAAATGTTGAGGAAGATGGTATTGAATAAGTATCAGAATTTTGAAATCATATGTGGAAATGTCAAGACTTGGCAAAACTATTTGAAATGATTTAAAATGTGTAGGTTGATCAGCATAAAGAAAACAGTGTCATCCTTAGAGGATTGAAAATCTACAAACCTATGTGCAAGACTGACCATGAGAAGCAGAGGAAGGACAGAGAGAGAAGCTTATAGAAAGAGAGCTAATACCACTTAAAGAGCTGAATTTATCAAAACAAACTAACCTGCATGTTACAAGCCGCTGTGGTGATGAAAGCACCGTTAGCAGGCTTAGGCTGCATGTTACGAGGTTAGCAGATGCTTTATTACAGTGTAAATCTTAGAATCTTATTAAGAAATATGCACTGAGGTGTGTGGTCAACAGGCCTTAGTAGTGTTATTTGAAGAAATTGGTTGAGTTTGGGTCATAGCTACGAGCCATACGGCACAATGAATGAGTGTGTGTAAGGAAGAGGCTTTTATTTTGTAGAGTCCCTTTAGTCTTATTTTGAAAGTCTATCATGAATGTGTGTCAAGGGAAGGGTCATGCCCAGCAGTGATATAGAATCCATTTCTAAATAGGAAATCACTGGTTTTCCATGTAATTGGGTGAATAGATGCTGTATTAGAGCGTAAATGGGAGACTTTTATTGTGAAATTCGCTCCGGGGTATGTTCTGAAAAGGTCCCTAGAGTCTAATAGAAACAAGGTGGTAGAGTTTGGGTCATAATTCTGAGCCATTTGCATCAATTAATATGCGAGTATAATATAGAGGCTTTGATTGTGTAGGGTCAGTGGAGTCTTATTTTGAAAGTCTAGCAGGGTTGTGTGTTGAGAAAAGGGTCAGACCCAGCAGTGATACTTGATGACTTTCCAATCGTTAAATCACTTTTTTTCCCTGTTATTAGGGCAGTAGATGAAGTGGCAATGGGAGGCTTTTATTTTGAAATTTGCTGTGGGGTGTTTTGAAAAACTCCTAGTCTCATTTTTAGAAAAGTGGTTGAGTTTGGGTCATAATGTTGAGCCATATGCTGGGGAAAATATATGACTTTAATGTAGGAGCTTTTATTTTGAAGGGTCCCCGGAGTCTTATTTTGAAAGTCTATCTGGGTTGCGTGTGAAGGGAAGGGTCATGGCCAGTAGTCATATTGTATCCATTTCCAAATGTTAAATCAGTGTTGTCTCCCTCCATTAGATTAAAATGTGCTGTTTAAAGTGGCAGAGGTAAAATCCCTTTGAAGCTTGGTTACCTTGACAACGCTTAACGAACCTGACAGTGACAGAGAGAAATGCGCTTCACTTTCGTTTCTTTCCTTTCAGGCTTTTTTGAGTGGGAAAATCAGCTCCGAACAAACGAGTGCTGAAGACAAACCGTAAATGGTATCTTAAAAATTCTTTCAGTCTAAGTGACAGCTATCCTTTATCTCCATCATGGCTGTAGCTCATTCACAACCTTATGGGAAGGAGAAATAAAAAGGTTTGTAGCACCTGCTGGTCCCATTAAATAACATGGAGTTCCATGGTAGAGCTGAGCTCTCAAAAGCAAAACTTCCCCTCCGAACAAACGAGCGGTGAGCCAAAACCGTAAAAGGTATTCAAAAATTTGTTTCACCGTTGGCGTCAGCCATCCTTCGGGTTCGACTGTGCCAACTTTAATGTTTCTACTAAAAACTATTTGGCCATGGTGACGATGTAAAAATGTGTTTTTTCTGAGTATGAGGATTTTCCTATGCCCGAACAAGTCAGCTAAACAGCTAAACCATAAATGATATTGAAAAAATTCCTTCAATGTGAGTGCTAGAAGGGTCTGAACATGTTCTATACCAAGTTTCATGTTAGTACATCAAATGGTTAAGAAATAGGAGCAATATGAAAATATGTATCGTTTTGGATTTTGTCTGTGATTTTTGGAAAGTCTCTCATTGGATTTCTATTGGGGAAGTCTGGACTTCTTCGCGGTCTGGGCCAAACTGTTGGAAAACCGTTAATGCCACACAAATAAGGGTTACATTTCCTGAATCCTGACAAAAATCCCTACGTTTAATGTATAATTTATTTCAATTGAGTGAAAAATGAGGGAGTGAGAAGAATTTGTTCGGAAAAACCAGAACAGCTCAAAAGCTAGAGCATGCACTCTAGCAGTTGAAGAATTCCGTCCATAGACTTCCATTATAAATCTGAAAATCTGTAAAAATTCTTTTAACGTTTGAAGCTTCACTGAAGCAAAACTATAAAAGTTAGCAGAAAGCCGAGTTAAACAGTAATAGCAGAAAGATACGGAAACATTTTAAAGTTGAATGGTGTTTCTAGCTGAAAGTATGCTGCAGTAGTTAAAGGTCGAAGATGATAAAGTTTTAGCTGAATTTTGCTGAAATCTAAGAATTCTACATGCATTTCAATGGGACAAAAAGAACGCAGAAAAAGCTGAATATCGCGAAAACTAAAAAAAATATCTTTACCAAAAGAGATAGCACAATTCTCCTGAACAAGCTGAACGTTTTGATACCAAAATTGTTGAAATCGGTTGAAAACTGCGGGACTAGTTAGAGTCAGAAAAATTTAAAGTCAAAAACAATAAGTGGGAATGCATAAGCATTCCCACTTGATAATCTAATCCCGATATTTTTTCTAATTAAGTGATTGTTGATCATATAAAAAGTCCCAAGTAATAATATTTTTACTGAGATAGATCCAGTAAAGGAAGTGAATCCAGATTCTGTCCCAAACATACCTGAATGAGGCTGAGAACCAGATCATGAAGGACTGTGGGGGGGTTGAATTTGGGCAAAATGATACGAACCAGAACCCCCTCAACAAACTCCTGCGACGCCACCAGAACATGGAAGCGATGGCCACAGTTCTTAACACACGTCTCAAGAACCTACAGGAAATAAAACGTAAAGCTAAAATATGAAATGTGATTCAGTAAAGTATCAGCAGTAACTACAATCAACATGTTTATTAAACAGTTAATAGATATTAAGGTTTATTACTCACAGTTAGAGCCAGCATGATCTCTCTGAAGTTCTTGTTTCCCACAATCCTTTTCTTGATGGCTTTAACAGCATCTCTGGGTCTGACAGAAATATTTACATCAGAAGATGTGTGTTCAATTATCTCGAGTTGAAAAGGAAATAAAGCATGCAAAGTGTTACTAAATAATGAAAGTAGTGATGTCTGTTTGTTCTATGTATAAACGTAGTCCCAACAACAGAAATGCAATTTTTAAAGTTATAAAAACCGTGGACCTTCTACTTAATGTGGCCATCTGATCACATGAAGCTGAATGATTTTCAGCAAAAGTGAAAACATAAACCTATCATGTAAACTTCTTTATTGTAATTATATAACAGGTTCCTGAACACAGCTACACCTATTAACCAGGCTTCAGACTGATTTCTCCCAATTTCATTAAATGCATCCAAACTAAGGATGCTCTGGATCAACAGGGGTAATCTTTAATGTTTGTCCTTTGAGTGCAGTAAAACTGCAAAACACAAAAGGACATGCAGATAAAAAAAAAATGTTTAGACACCTGAATATTAAAGTACTCGATGAATTGTTGTTAAATTATATTTGTTTAAGGGTTTAAACTGATCTAAACCAACCTGGACTTACAGTATGTGAGAAGGGTAATAGTCCACTAACTCTAATACTGACTGGTCCATTCTTTGAAGGCAGTGACAGGAAATAAGATTTTACATTGCTGTCCAGGGATTTGGATGCATTTCTGAGCCTAATCGTTTTCATTTTAGCAACATTTTGGTCTCACTGGTGAATTGAAACAGATTTTGAAAATCCAGTAATGAATACATTTTAATCTTCTTTTGAACAATTAATTGGTGTGCTTTACATCGTTTTATATAGTCTAAGACGGAGATCTTCAACAGGGGGTCCGTGACCCCTTGGGGGTCCACGGAGGTTCTGCATGGGGGTCGTGAAAGTTTTGGTTGGTTAGACTTTTTTTCCACTAAATGAAATGGCTTTAAATGCACATCAACATGAATTCAACACACTGATAAACAGATAAATGGAGGCAGAAAATATCTTTCAGTAATCAATGCACACATTAGGCAACACAGAGGGGCTCTTTCAATCTGGGCGCCGTTTCATTCACACCTGTCCCATCAACGAAGAATAAGAATCAGAAATACTTTAATAATCCCAGAGCAAAATTACTTTTGCTACATTACTCCATCTGTAATAGAGTGACTATAGGACCAGTTTGATATGACACAATTTCATACCATATATATAATTAGGGGGTCCCTGCTCCATCTGGCCTTCAGTTTGGGGGTCTTTGGTCAGGAAAATATTGAAAACCTCTGGTCTAAGGTCAGGCTGATGGTGAGATATTCTCATAACAATTTAAAGCAAAAGAGCAGGGCTCATGCATTCATCTCATTCAGGATGTTTCTTCAGATTATCTGCAGGTGAGACTTTTTTTTTTTTTTTGCTTAGGAAATGTTCTGACACTGTCGCTTTCCCATTTTTGCCAGTCTCTTACTCACCGTTTTGCTGTCAACTTTGACCCTGAATGGAGTGAGATCGTCAATGTTTTCAGCATTGTGGTTTTCTTACCACATCCCGGATGAGTGGCTGATGCTCTGAGTCATTTTGGTGAACTGGCCAATCCTAAGAAGTTCACCATGAAGTTTAGCCTCCTTAGAGAATCAGGCAGGCTCTAATTGGAGGATTTCTTTATTCACTACTCAGGTCTGGGTAGAGCTGGTTACACTGAGCTCAAATTTAAAAGAAGCGGTTAATCACAGCTCATTTTTGCTTTAACAATATGGGCCATTACTTTTTTCGCCAAGTGCCAAGGGGTCAAGGGTAACTAGAGTTTAAAAACAGATTTTTGTTTTTTTTTCAGGTTATCTTTGTCTAATATAAAAATTGTGTTCAGGGACCTGAAATAGATAAGTGTGACAAAAAACAACCAAAAGAAAGTTTTTTTTAATTTTTTTAGCATTCCTTCCCTAAGGTGCTGAGTGTTTTTATGAATAAAAGGGGATCAATTTGGAATGTCTTAATTTTGTGTTGAATTCAATACTGCTACCTTTGAAAAATAATCCTCAGCAGATACTTTATTGCCGTGTGTGTTATAGTCTTTAAAAAAAACAATCATCTGAACCATATGTACCCCTCATCCGTCTCATTGATGATATCGCATATCTCCATGTTGAGTCCCCAGTCCTCAGACTGCAGAGAGCCGCTCGTCGCTCGTTCTGTCAATAAAGAAGAGACAAAGTAAAGCATGAACTGGAAAACTGATTAAAAATACACAAACAGAACCGCAACAGGGTTTCAAGTACCAAAAAAGTCCTTCAAAGGATTTCAAGTCCTCCTTTAGGATGAAGGAGAAAAGTGGCACTCAGAAGAGCTGTCCCCCCTCCCCCTAAATTGCTGCACGTTGTCAATCAGCTGGGTGTAAGAAAGCTGCTACATTCTTCCTTTGGTTAAAAGAAAAAACAAAGTGTGTGTACAGAGAGCCATGATATGGACTCTAACCCATCCCTCTTATAGTAACACTGTTGATAAAATAAAGAAAGACAGCTGGTAGTATCATGACTGTAAAGGAAGCAGATAGCCCGACTAATTAACCAACATGAGCTTGCCAGACTCGTGGTCCTCCACTAGAGAAAGTAAATCATTTTCTGAACAGAAAGGGCCTGAATTGACTTCTAAATTTAGCTGTTATTCTGCATGTGTGCTAAAGTCCAGGGGTAGAGTTAGCTTCAGGCAAAACTAGGCAGTTCTCTAGGGCCCAAAGTTATTGAGGGCCCCATAATACACTTCATAGATGTTTGGTAAATACAGCTATTACTAACTTATTTTACAAAAAAAAATGTTTTTGATTAAAATGCAATCAAAAAAACCCTATCTATACTATATCTTTGCCTCTCCACTACATCAGATCAGTCCACTTTACTGCACAGGTGCAGAAAGCAACAAGTAAGACTGCGGCAAAACATGAAAATAAATGAGGATAAGAGATAAGAAGAGAAATAAAAAGAAAAAAAGATGAAAGACTCTACCCCAATGATGCTGGAGAGAATAGATAGGAGGAGGACAACAGAAAGATGCAATCAAAGTTCCCAAAAGTGCAACAGCAAACCAAAACAGTCATCGAGCACAACACTGACGCTGACCCTTTTCAGGATGATCCGTTGTGTAGAGATGAACAACTAGTGAGAATAAAAGGTGTCGAACCTATATTGCTCTTTAAAGTATTTCTTTAAAGACAGGAAAGCTTAGGAGTTATTTTGAATTCAGCTTTCATTCATGTTTATTTTCTGCTACAGAGGGCATGAAAATCATCATTTAGGATTTCTTTTGTTTATTTTCTTTTTTTGTGTGTGTTGAATTTCCAGCCAACTTCAGGCTTTGGGGTTTCTTTCTTGTTGGATTTTTAGGTCAGTGAATATAAATCTAATTGTATGATTTCCTGAGGCCAAGACTCGCAAATAAGATTTTAAGGATAAGAGGGAGAAGAAACTAAATTAACTGGAGAGTCTTTTTAAGCAAAAAAAAAAAAAAGACTATGAGAAAAGGGATAAAAAAGACCTGAAGAGGACGACAACAAAAAAGGGACAGGAAGAAAAAAAAGAAAAGTAAAATGAGGAAAAAGAACCAAAGAACAAATAATACAAGGACAAAGTGGAGAGAAATGCAAAGACAGAGAAAAATAAAGAGGAAAAGGGGACACAAAGTAAACCAAACAATGTATATGTATTCTGTTAAAATGTCTGCCACTGTATAATTGACCTGTTGTTTTGTGTGTTGTCTTCTCATGGCGGAGAGTCACATGCCTGCCTTTGCCCCGGGCCCTACATTTCTAAAATCCGCCACTGCCTAAGCTGATGCATCAAAATCCAAACAACAAATCAATGTTCCTGTTAAATGTAATGATCCTTTTATTATGTTCTATCAGCCGCAGGGATAGGTTCTGTGCATCTGAGTTAAATAACATACCAAAAAAGTTAAAAAACAAACCACTTGTTGTCTTCCTCTTCAGGCTAAATAACTAATTAGCTCATGTGAATCGTTGGTGTATAAAATATGAAAGGATAAGATGTTGTGAGGATCTAAAAACACCAAATCAACCAGAAGCCTGATGTTCTACACAAAAGAAACGTGTTATACACACAGTTCCCTTTGATTCTAAGAAAAACAGTGTCTTAATACAATGGGAAAACATTTTCAAAGGGCTTTTGTCCAGTTTGTCGGCTGTGATTTTTTTCTCTCTATTTTATCCAAAGTATGAATCGTCTAATTGGCTCAATTTATATTTTTTTAACTTTTTTCTAAAAAGGTGCATGCATAAAAAAACTTTCAAAAAACTACTGTGTCATTTAGATAAACACAGCATCCCACAGAACAACAGAGACCATACCATCATTAACCCAGATACCAGCATCATTCAGGTCACCTGCAGTTTCACACAAATCAGCATAACACCATAAGATCAAAAAGCAACACCAACTGCTGTTAAAGGTTTGTTAATTTCATTATTTGTTGATTTTGCCCAAAGTAACAGTTCATTTCGGGAAGAATGGAAAACTGGGATCCAAACTGTTATGCAGCAAAGATGTACATTTCTTCCAAAAAGAAAGCTGTTGAGTCAGAGAATAAAAAGAAATAGAAAGATTAGCTGGTAGGACTTTAAAAGAATTTATTTAAGTTGAAATAAAATGCCCAGGAGCAGATCAGGAGCAACTTCATAGCCGTAGCTCTTCTAGGTTCAATTCTCTTCCTTGAGAAATCTTTACCTCTACATGAAAACAATTGTCATTGCTTCAATTCATCATTAATCTTAATTTATATTTTATATTCATTTGTTCTGTTGATATCACAGCAAAAACAATAAGGTTTCAGCGTGCAGACTTTCAAAATAAACTGAAGCACACCTAACCTGCGATAAACATTTTAAAAGAAATTAAGGATTCTCTGAATTTGATGTTTTTAATGGCAGGTTTCCTATAACTTACAGCACAAGGCAGCATATTTAACCTATAAAGAGACCTTTTTTTTTCATATCGGTCCAATCAGTGTTTCTTAATCCTGTTCCTCAGGGCCCACTGTACTCCGTGTTTTGGGTGTTACCCTGAATCCACACACCTAACCGAATGAAAAGGTGATCAACAGGCTTTAGCATCTTTTGAAGGCCACTGAGGAGGTGATACAATCATTTAAATCAGGTGTGCTGTAGACTAAATGAAATGTACTTAGAGTTGCAAAAGTTTCCTGACTTCTGATAAAACAGATCACTGAGTTTTACAAACGCTCATCCAGGTTTCCTATAAATGCCTCATCAGAAATTAAACAAAAATGCTTTAACTCAATCCTAAATAGAAATTTGGGAAACTGAAGCTTTTTTGAAATGTATAAAGAAGCTAAAACAAATTTCCTTTTTCACTGGGGTGAATTTATTGTTGGGATTCTAACCAGAAAAACATAATGAAAGCGAATAATATATATTCTGTTAAATTATACTGCTCTGATTGCCTTTTGTTTCTAAGATCATTGCTCATTCTTGTCCAACGTCACGAGGAAATTGGCTTTTTGTCACACGCTGTACAACATCAACTGCAATGTTTTTGCTTGTTTAAAAATGTTAGATTTATAGGTATTTGGACTTTGTTCAGAACTGTGGACAAGTCTGGTACTTTACTAATTTTATTGCCAAGCCTCAGTAAACATATTATATGGGCAGCTGACCTGAGAAGTTGGATCATAACACGCCCAGAGATCTGCACATTCAGACAGCAGTTTAGTTTAAATTAGAGGGAATGTTTCTATTATATCTTAATAAGGTGGAGTGGAATCAGTTTTTTTAAAAGATCGTTTCCCAAATGTGAACTTTATAGAAAGACAGTTCTCTACTTTATGAAAATACCTTAGAGGCACACAGCGGACTTTGTGACCTAAAGAGTTGATGCATATGACTTATTTTAAATGATTCCTCAGGCCAATATACAGCGCTTGACACTATTAATGCTACAAGCAGGGCAGCGCTTTGAAATAAAGCCTAACTAAGTTGGGAGATGACGGTCGTCTTTGGCCTGGTCATGTGATCTGAAAGAACGTATCGCTTTATAGCCACAGGCTCTTTTACAGTCATAGAGCTAAGGCTTTTGCTCTACTGTTTTTCCGCCTGCCCGACTGATGGTCGTGCTAAGGCAAGGAAAAAATGTAAACCTTCTGAGGAGGCTTAAAAGAGAAACATGAGGGGGATTGCGCGCAAGGAAAAACAAGAGTCGATCTTGGAAAGGAGTGTGTTCGTCGGTGCAGGTTGAAAGAAGCCGGATGTAAAACCAATTCTCTTTTCTCACCTTTATTATCAGACTGGAAGTTAACGCTTCGCTCCTGGTATACAGTCGTATATCTTTGCTATTATTTTCTATGTTTAGTAGAAGCAAAATACGGGCAAAGAAAGCTAACAGGCTGACTGTTGACTTTGGTGAAAGTGCTGCGGCGCTTGTAGCCACTAGAGGCGCTAGGCGTAAAAGTAACAGCTCTAGCGTCCCTAGTGGCCAAAAGTTACATGGTGTGCCTATAAGAAATGATGTTGCTCTCCCAAACAGGAGATTCAGAATGAAGAAAGAGAAGAAATGTATTGTTTATTTGATACAAATGAGAAACATTGGAAAAAATAAAAATAGAAAATAATAGGGGAGCTTAAACATAATATAAGATTGATCAGTAACTACTGGAGAAACAGGGTCAACACAGATTAGTTCAGGGTTTTGAAGGTTGGGGAAGTTAATATTTACCAGTAGATGATAGCATTGTTTGAGTCACTTCATATATATAGTAAAGGAAGAAGAGCCTGTTTAGTCGGCCATGGGTGGGAACCTAAATCACAATGGATTACACAGAATTCTTTGTTTTAATTATGTTACATTTCACTTCTACGTGTGCGAAATGTGGACTGAGAATTAAACTTGTGTTTCTGATCTGGGTAAACCTCTGATCTCAATAGAAACGTCTATCAAAGTCCTATCCTATTTTCAGTGAGGTCTCTACTCTAACCCAAAAAATATTTCAATGTTCAGCTCAGAGTACATGCTTGAGGCAGGAAGCTCATGGGTGCAACACCATGCCCGTTATTTTCTGTGTAAAAATGAAAACTTTTTTCTCCACATAACCTTTTAATGAAAAGTTAATTAAAATGCAGTTGGTTCGGTGATCAGAGCTGCTTTGCAATGCTTGGATTCCAGTTTTGTCTATTCCCCTGAATGACTAGCTGTTAGCTTAAGCCTCCAAAAACCAGCTAATCTGGATTCAAAGAGACATAAAGATCCTATGTAATTAGAAGTGAGATAATAACTGCTTATATGTTTGTCACAGACGCTTACTTCATAGTTTTCTGAGGTACGCTTTCAGTGGCTGTCTGCATTAGGCACGTTGCAGTTTCAAATCCAACAAATCCTTTACCGTTACCATTTAAAGTGTTTTTTAATAAGATGCCAGAGAAAACACTGGAACCATGGGATATTTCTGCAGCTGTGTGGACCTCAAAGTAACACAGCAGTGCGTTTTCGTTCACCTCTTGGTGTGAACTGCCAGACAACTGGCTGAAAAAGAGCTAAAACTATTTTTTGTCAAGGAGAAATATTCTATGCCACTATGTCATTTTTCCTGAATCATAGCACCTTTAAAATCCAATGAACTGACATATTGATTTTACTACTAAAAACGCATCAGTCATCCGCAAAGTATTCCAGAGTGTCATATGTAGGGATGGGAGTCGAAAACCGGTTCCGTGTGTTTCAATTCCATGGCAACGTTTGGCAGCTCGCTTAATGGTTCCAGGCAGCACCAAAGCCAAGCGCTGGGCAGCACGACCTACATCATGTTTTTTACGCAAGTTACCCACACAGCATTCATTAAGCAAGTACGACGTGACCAGGCGTAAGATTCTCAAAGCACTCAAAGCGATCGAAAGTTTTGCTTCATTTAAGGAAGAGAAAGATGGAAACAAGGCGCTTTGCAATCGTTGCAAAGTGGCAATTACATCCACGGGAGGAAATACATCCAACATGCAGTAACACCTGCGCACACAACATGGCATACATTTTAACGAATGCCGTGTTTAAAGGTACGACCGGCATGGAAGGCAACTCCGGTGTTAAGTAGCTAGTTTATATCACTTGCTGGGCTTAATATGGTTCATAGTAAATCATATGCCATTTCTGGAAATAAACCAATGTCCTACCTCTCTTTGGGGTTATTAAACATACTACAAAGTTGCTCCGCAGTTCAAGCAGCGAGAGAAAGGTGACGCTCATTTATTTAAATCAGGGGGAGATGAGTTTATCTCCCAAAATTGTACAGTTTTCATTAAACGGATGCCTTCTCCATTAGATTTAGATGACTGTGACGAGACGGGTAGCCTAGCTGGCTCAGAGGCTGGAAGCTCCCGTTCACTGCCTTCTGTTTTCAACAAGGCAGGCAGAAATAGAATGTCCCAGGTGAAGGTAGACGAATGTCACCGTGCACTTACTAAGTTCAGTGTTTCACACAATCGATAATGAATCCAATCGTTACACAGAATCGATAAGGGAATCAAATCGTTTCACAGAAACGAGAAGAGAATCGAATCGTTTCACAGAAGCGATAAGAGAATCGTTAAGGAATCTAAGCATTTCACAGAATCGATAAGGGAATCGAATCGTTTCACAGAAGCGATAAGAGAATCGTTAAGGAATCTAAGCATTTCACAGAATCGATAAGGGAATCGAATCGTTTCACAGAAGCGATAAGAGAATCGTTAAGGAATCTAAGCATTTCACAGAATCAATAAGGGAATCAGAATTATGAAAATCTTATCAATTCCCAGCCCTAGTCATATGTTTAAAGCCCTGTAGCATGCCTTATTTCTACACTATAACATCTGTATCATTTTTTTAAAAGATATTCTTACTCCCTTTAACATTTTCAAAAAATACCAATTTATACAAATCACCTCTAGATACTCAAATAAAGTTTTCAGCAAACAGGTTCACAATTTCAAAGGAGTTGTTAAGAAATCAAGGCCTGGTTTCATGCAGTGCACAGGCTTCCCATAAATCTCTAAAGTCTCATTCCTTTCTACCAGCCACGCTTTTGCAAACCCTTAACCTCCTCTCAATCCCTAAGCAGCCTCCTCTCTCCCTCCCTTGCACTGGCCTCCTCTGGCTGCCTCCACTTCATGTGACTGTCAGCTGCTTGGGTTCTCGTTTGCCTCTAAACTGGCTCACATCTATGAGCAGGAAAGTGAGAGGATTAAGAAAAGGAGGAAGGAAGGGTTCAGATGGGTGGTGTAGCAACTAGTCATCACTGATAAACTACTGTACCTCTTTTCCAGATATTAGCAGTTGTATAAATGTAGGAGCAGTTAGACACCTTTAAGATGAAATATCTGGTTTAAATCTGCTTTAAATGAAAACGGACGTTGAGAGGAAAAGAGTTAATTTAGCTATAAATGTATAGGTTTTCGTAGAAACGCTTCACCGACTGCGGAAGTGAGCGGCAACACCAAGATGAATACTAATTGGCTGAGATAGCTGTCAGTTAAACTAACCGACCAATCATATGCACGGATTAAAAAAAACGGTCCTACCTCCGTCTGAGTCACTAAACTTTTCTGTTTTTGTGCTGATTCTGAGCGTACAAAAAGAACATAAAAACGTTTTTTATGTGAAAATACACCAGGAGGAAGAGTATGTTAGACATAGAAATATCGAAACATGTCAGTCGATGTTTAAATTACACAAATGACCCCCCCAAAAAAACAACCCAAAAAAAAAAAAAAAAAACTCAAAGTGTTAATAATTGAAGCAAAAGCTCACCGATTCTCTGACCGACGGGTGTTGAAAAGGGGTTTCCCAGGAGGAACTCCATGGTCTCCCCGATAGAAAACATCCTGGGTAAATGGAGCCGGTTGCTAGCCGTTCAGATAACTGTTAGCAGGTATAGAGACTTGTTGGGCTGCTGTGAGAATTGCTGCCTTTCCTTTTGCTGTGCAGCGCTCTGTGGGAGGTCACGTGAAAACCCACGCTCACGCGGAAGCCCACATCCAAAACCAAACATCAACATCACGTTATCTACTAACCATCTATCCCTACACAGTATCAATAAGAAAAACTTAGTGCATCATTAGTAATAATTTATACTACATTTCTTTAAATGTTTCTTAATGCAAACAATTTAATTAGTATCTATGTATCTGTACCTATCGGTCTCCGCCGGTCACGTGACTTTTGTTGCTAAGACGCCATTTTAGTTGGAAAAGGTGTAGTGTAAACAACCGCAGCATAGCTAAACGAAGGAGTAAAGGCCTGTTTACATAGCAGCCTGTCCAAGATAAGTCATTACAGTTAACATAAGCCTGAAAACAGGGGCGGATTTAGGAAAATCGGTCTCCGCCAGTCACGTGACATTTGTTGCTAAGACGCCATTTTAAGTGGAAAAGGCATAGTGTACCGCGCCCGAGGTAAACAATTGACGTCACTTGGCGGAGACCGATATGTTTCAATCCATCTACTTAAAATAGACAATTAGTGGCCGATTATCTATTTCAATTTTGTTTGATCGTTATTATTATTACATTTTTTTCCTATTTTTTCATTATGGGCTTCATTCTTTAAATGTTGTTATTGTGGATTTTTTCACACTGACAGAATTTTTTCAGACTTCTACTGGTTGAAGTGTTTTGCAGTTTGTTACCTCTCCAGGCAGATGTTGCAGATTTGCAACAGCTAAATGCCACTTAGCTAATTACTCCACATCCATATTTTAAGAGTTTTTGTTACTCAGAAGTACAACAGAAGGACTTTGTTTTGCATTTGCAACAAACAGTTTCTCTCCAGCTACACTATCAATACCAATTTCCATTATTTTGAAATCAATACTACATAAGATGGATCATGAATGTGTATAGATATGACACGTGCCAATTAGTAGATTTTATCTCCTCTGGGTTTTTCACCAGAGGCATCTCAATTTCAATGTTGTGGATTCGCAACGTGTGCCCAAACAGGTACCAATGGATGCTACATGCTTTATCTACTAGCTTTCCTATATTTTGAGCAACAGTTTAACAGAAACGGCCTTCTCAAGAGGTTTTGAGATATCGGTAAAGAAAAAGTTTGAGAAAAGTTGCCTCTAATTGTGTGAGAGAAAATATTTTTTCGAATTTCGTTTTGTACATTTTTGGTTTATGACATTCAAATAAGGTTAACGTTCATATCAAATTCAGTCTTCAGTGTTAATTTACCACTCCGGGCCACTGTTGCAAATCTGTAACATCTCAGAATTCATTGCATGTGAAGGTCTCTCAAAAAAAAAAAAACGTCCGAATTGTATATTACTACCCCATATGATCATTTACTCCAAATATCAGATTTTTCCTGCAACTACAACTTAATTTGAGCTCGAGAGGGTTAAACTCCAAAGATCAATCAGAGGCGTAGCCAGAAAATTTTTTTATTAGGGGGGCCAGTCAATAACCAATGAATAGTACTGAGGGGGGGGGGGGGGGGGGGCGAAAAAGGTAGGCACCAGAAGCTCAGGGTCAATCTACACGGTTCCAACAGGAAAATTAATGCGCAAAACATCCATATTTTCTAAATAAATACAAACAATATTTTCCCACAGCCTTTGCAAACAAATAGACAAATATTAAACAGCCATCTAGGTAAAAGGTATAGTGGATAAAATTCTTTCAGGTTTGAGTCTTGGGCGAACATCTCTTCTTTTGTCATTACTTGCCTACTTTTATCAATATCATTCTGCATAAAATTGATATTACAAGTACTCATATCTACATAAATTGATTATTTAATAAGTTTTTATTAAAGTAGTTATTTATCTAGGATTTCACTTAAGACTCCTAGATGACTTGCAGAGACACATCATTTTCTCTTTACCCCATAAAACACAAAATCTATTTCTGCTTGGATTCTGTATTTATCATCTTAATGTTAGTAATATTGATGTGCATAATTATCCACAGGGTTTTTGTTGTCAAGTAATTAATATAGGAAAAATGAAAATGTTTTGAATATTCCACTTGAGAGTATACTGTTGCTTCTATCTGTATCAGAGGGAAATAAATGGTACGGTTGCCACAGGGGTGGCCAATGATTAGCTGAGGGTGGCCATGGACCCCATCTAACTCTGCCCCTGAGATCAATCTGCTTGAGTGGGATTTTATGGAAATGAAAATAGCATATTTGGGAAAGATACACATTGTTTGTAGAATTAGAAAAATCTGAAGGATGTTGTCAATAGTGGTTTTGGACAAAACTTACCAGAGGGAATGGGGTGGGGCAAGAGAGAATGTTTTTGTCCAGTGTTTCCAATACTTTTTTTTTGTTTTGTTTTGTTTTTTTTACCTGTGAATTTTGTCTTACAGTGAGCTGTCATCTAAAAGTATTGTGGATTGCCCAAAAGTGGAATGTAAAATAATTAATTGTAAAATGAATAAAATTTTACATAATCTTTTAATTCTTAGGCATTTTATGCTTTCCATCTCAAATAAAAGAACAACATGTGTTGCCTGGAAGTTAGTAAGGAATCAAAATAAAATCCTATTATAAACCTGTTTTTTTTAACTGGAGCTCACAAAACAAAACAAAAATTATAGTCACTGAATGAATTAGTTTATTTTGTTTTCATCAAGACACCTGAGCTTCTTTGATGAGCTCTGATAGCTCAGTGTGAAAAACAGCTGATACCAGACTGATCTCTACACTCTACAGAGTGTAAAACCTGAAGATGAACCAAAAAATATCAAAAAAGAACTTAGTTTTTGGTTGATAAAAGCTTGTTTAGTTTTTCCAAATTGGTCCACAGAAAGCAAAACAGATCCCAACCCTATTTTATTTCACTACCTAAGAAAATTAGATATTTTGATGTACCCCTTGCAATGCACTCGCGGACCAGGGAGTGCTCGTAGGAGTGCTCGTACCCCTGGTTGGGAATCACTGCTTTAGGCACAAACCTGTATTTTAAGTTGTGTGTAATTTTTTAATAATTTCTCAAGTAAATTGTAAGGGTGAAATATTAGTATTGGTTTGTCAGCACACATATAATCATAAGAGACTGATTTATCATCACAGTCCTGCCACAGTCCAAAAACATAATTCTTAAATGCTAATTCATGATGCTTCTCTAAATGCTCCTTAGGTGTGTGTTTGTGCAGGAATGGTTGTTTGTCCTGTTTGTCACTGTGTTGCCCTGCGATGGACCGGCGACCTGTCCAGGGTGTACCCCACCTCTCACCCGTAGACAGCTGGAGATAGACACCAGCTGGGATAAGCATGACAGAAAATGGATAGGGTATTTGCTCTTAATTTGAAGGAGGATTTTGGCCCTTAAAAACAAAATAATTTTTGTACAATACACTTGAAATAAGACAATAGTTGTTTTTAGTTGTTAATAACATAAATCATCTTATTCCATCTATAGATTGTCTGATACCTACTTGCAGTGTTGTGCACTGGTAAGTACGGGCAGGTGCTCAGCTTGGAAAAAGGGCACCTTATAGGTCACATGGAGCCGCCAACATCCAAACAAAGCCTAAAGCTGACGTTTAAAGGATCTTCTGCAGTCCTTGGGTAGAAATGCCACATTGGTGTCAATTAAATAAATAACAATGCCACATATTTTATGGAGCAAAATTATAAAAATCTAAATTTTTGATTGGCTTTTAGTTTCATAAACAGTATTTTGGGCTTAAAGACTTAAAGAGGGGAAAGGGGCAGCTGTTCTAGCACCACCTAGTGTCTATCTGTGCACCTTTCTGCATACCTGCTTGATTGAAGTTATAATATACATCTATTTCAAGAAAAATTTACTGATTTTAAATATTTACATTTTTGCAATCATATTTTCAGTAGAAGGTTCATAAAAGAGGCCAGGACCAGTTCTACAGTGGCACTGGCCCCTGATGGCCCCCCTAGAATGTCCCATGGTTGTGGTATTTTTAAGTCTCCCTGAGTCAGTACTATATATAAGCACCATTTATAGGTCAGTGTTTTTTTCATGGATGCACAGAAAAAAAAGAATGAAACTAAAAACAGGACAAAACTTCCTTGTTTGATTCATTAAATACACCAAAGAGCCATTTACATATCTGGAGACCTCAGATATATCAAATGAAAACTGTGATCCTAAACCAATATGATTGAAGCTTAAAGTGCGGCAACATTTGAAACTATAAATATAAACAGCTCCAGTTTCTGTTCCAGTACATACAATTTCTTTACAATCAATTTAATTTAAAATGTGTCTTTGATACAGGGGCCATAAAATGACTAACACATGGAGCACTGGCCTATGTTGGCCCCTATCTACAGCACCCCCCATGCCTTTTTGCTAGACCTCTTGTTTGGTCATGTTTGTCCTAGACTCCTTTTATTTTTAAATGATGGATTGAACAGCTCCCTGTAAATTCCTAAAGGGTTGGATACATTTTTATAAGTAATAAGTAAAAATATGATATAGTCCTAATAAGCCGATGTTGATGCTGCACGATGGCAGCCCACTGCTCCCCAAGTGGATGGGTTAAATGCATACAGTTTATTTCATTGCTCTGTCACAGTGTAATGACAGCAAAAAGCTGGAAAAACTAATTGTAAAGTGAAAAATGTGCGAGGGTATGTAATTTTTTATTTTTTTTATGGCAAGCAAGATAAAAATAAAACTATAAGTTCTGTTTAGATACAAGTATTTTCTTGTCTCGTTTTGGAGAGTCAGCAAGTGAAACCAGCCGGACCAGTTTTAGGATGCTAGACATGAAACACTGATCGTCTCTTCAGATTTCAAAATAATATTTCCAGGAAAACCTAAGCAGGTCACAACTAATTGTTTGGCTTCTATATGTTGTATTTCTTTGACTGAAACTGTCTCCAAAGCTTTGTCAGAGATGCTATATACAGTCTGTATGCAACAGAAAAAATGATATTAATAGGAGATTCCAAAAAGTTTAAAAACAATCCACTGGACTTTGTTTCCAAGTTTGAAGATGTTTCACTTCCCATCCAGGAAGCTTTTTCAATTCAAATGGCCTACTTATGTTCTTTCTTCCTTGGCTTCAAACTGAGAATACATTGTTGATTTCTTTAACCAAACGTCTATGAGGGAGTATATTGATATCATTTTTTTTATTACTTTTGTTTTTTATTACATTTTGTTTTGGGTTTATTTTACTGGTAGTTCCCCCCCCCCCCTCCCCCCCCCTGTCTCTAAAGGAAGGGTAGGTAAACACAACTGTCTTTAACAGGTGCAAATCTGCTGTATTTTTGCATGACCGCCACAAGGCGGCGACGTTTTACAGAAGATGAGCTTTACACTTTTTTTTTTTTTTTGGTGCAATATTTGCAACCAGCAGAAAATATTTGATTACTTAAGTGACTTGACTCATGCACTCATGCACTTAAAGCATGTTTAAATGAAAAAAAAAAAAAAAAAACTAATGTTACATGTAAAAGTCAGCACCTTTTGAAACCAACTTTTTTGCAAAAATATATTTTTCCCATTCGCTCTATGTTAAGATGTGGCCAGCATCTGTTTCTGCAGACATCACTGGAACAGGGGGGGTATGGAGGACCATCTCTGTCATATTTTAAAATGAATACATAAATAAATAAATGCTCAATAAATAAATAAGGATACAATTAATTGCCCCCAAAAATACAATAAACAAATAAATGTAGATAGAAATTAAATTATACAGTGAGACGTAAATGTATATGTATGAGCTCTGTGAACTAAGAAGATGGGCCACCAACCAATGAGCAGAAGCTGACTCTCTAAGACCCGACTCTCTAAGATAGCGTTGAAGACATAAAAAAAAATAAAAAGGAAGAATAAAACAGACAAAAATATGAAATTATACACAGAAATAAATACTTTAAAAATAAGCAATAAATAAAAAAAGTTGAAGATTATACCAGACAATAAATAAATAAGGTAATTACTACAAAGGCGAATAAATAAAGAAGTTAATTAAAAGAGATATATACATTTATGTCTCATTGTATAATTTAATTTCTACCTACATTTATTTGTTTATTGTATTTTTGGGGCAATTAATTGAATGCTTATTTATATATTGAGAATTTATTTATTTCTGTATTTATTTTTAGATATGGCAGAGTAGGTCCTCCATAGCTGAATAGGAGTCAGATGTGAATGCCCCAGAGGATGAAAAGATGTGAACTGGAAAAAACACAACTTTTTTAATCTGCTTTCTGTAGAATGTGCACAAACCAACGCATTGCAGCAGCTAAGTTAAGGCTGTTTATACACTAGATGACTGTTTCACACTGTTGTAGATTGATGTCATTTGTATATTGTAAAAATAACCACACTGGTAAATAAGAAAAACCACACTCACAAGTGGTTTAAATAGTTAAACTTTACATATAATTCCGTTAAGAGATGGCAAGAACAATATGTTTTATAGCATCCCTGTTATTTTAGGATGCGATGGGGCCCATATTTTTTTTTTAATCTGACTGAAGCTTAAATATGACTGTGATTAATAAACAATTGTTTAATTAAATTGTCTTGTCAAAATGTATAATTGGTCCAAGAGACCACACGTTTATAGTGCCTTACAGTATCATCTCTCAATGTCTGTTGTGGCCCAGCTTTGATGACACAAAAAATGGGAAATCCACAAAGGCCACAGATGCACCATGGACTAATTTTACACAGGCAAAAGAAAAATGTTCCAGGTGCACTCCTTTAGTTTTCTCAGTTTATTTTCTACTCAGGCAAGCAAACAAAAAAGACAAACATTTCCTCCATGTTTCTCTTGCACTGGTAAAAAAAACAAAACAAAACATACGACCACCAGGATGCATGCTGGTCCTACCTTTGACTGCCTATTTATAAAAAAATAAAAAATAATTCACCTTAATTAATCATAACTAACCAAAAACAAATGAGCATGACTAAATAAAGGAAAATAAACTTAGCCAGATTATGCACGAAAAAAAAAACACAACACATTTTTAATTATTAACAAAAATAATTGGCTCCTACAATGTCTTTTTAAGACATTGATTTAGCATTATAGTGCAAAAACATTCAAAAAGTGAAAACCCTCTTACAATAAACACATTTACTCTTAATTTGAGCAGGTACATAAGATGATCTGCCAAAGGAATTAATATGTATGCTCTTAAAATATGATGAATACATATTATTCACTTAAATTAAGATAATGCATATACGTTTTTTTTCTTACTTCATATATAAAATCACTTTATCACATAAGGAAATAGTGTAACCTCTTTAGATGAAAGAAAATGAATTTATAAAAAAAATTGCCTAATTATATTTATATGACATTTTTGCTGTGTGAATTTCCAGTGATAACAGGTAGGAGCAGATCTACATGAGCACTGGCCCCTTTGGGCCCCCCTTAGATCCACCCATGGATGCATCCATGGAATGTGGCTCTATGCTCTGAAATAAACACATCTCTCCTTCTTTTTGTCCATTATTAATGACAGAAACTATAGTTTTATAGAATGCATCCATCTATGAACGCACTTGAGAGTGAATGTGTGGTGGCTGCGGTGGTTGTAAATTGATCCCTCCTACTCTCCCCTGGTTTGCTGTGCAGAGGAGGGGTGAGGAGGAGGAGGAGGAGGAAGAAGAGGAGGAGGGAACTGGAGCAGGAAGGAAGACGGTTAGGGAAGCCAGGCGCTGAATGCTAACAAGCTCCTCTGTAACCATTAATGTTCCATAGGCTCGGCTTTCACCAAACATATGGGATTTAAAAAGGACCCCACGAGCGCCAATTGAGTCCTAATATGCGGCAGTGCCGCGTTCGCCCCGCGCGCGTGCAGCAGTCTCGCGAACGTCGGCACCTTTGATCCGTAAAAAAAAAAAAAACGTCCTTTTTTTTTTTCTTTCTTTTTTTTCTCCCGCTGAGTGAAATGTATGGAGACTGCTCGAGCCTGACGTTCTGACAATGGAGATTGAAAACATCGTGGCTAACACGGTTCTCCTGAAGGCGAGAGAAGGTAAGAGAAAAAAGACACCCCCCACCCACAAAAAAAAAAGAAATCAGAATCGGTATCCCGAACATCTACAAGACGGACCACAACCTTCCCCAAAAAGGCTGTCTGTCTGTCTGTGTTGTGTTTTTCTCCCATCACTGCGCAGTGCTGCTGTCTCCAGGCAAACATCTTCAGATGAAATCATTGGGGGGGGGGGGGTTGCAGCATCGCCTTGCATTGGAGGCTGTGGAGCTCATTTATTTCCCTCAAATACCTCTGGCTTATTTACTGCATTAGTGCATGTAAATGTTCTCAGGCTGTGCAGATATTCTCCTGCCTCCCTCATCAGGAAAGGAAAGCAGAGGGACTGAGGGCTGCATTTTGCCGCAGACATCTATTTGGCTGCAATGCTGCTGATTAGGAAACAGGAACGCAGCGATGCTTTCTCACCTGTAAGCAAGGATCCCTCTGTTTCTAACACAGGATGGTTTATACTGCACAGTAGATCTGCTTTATAGGTAAAGGCCTTCAGTGCTTGACTTGATTTCTAATGATTTCATGACCAAAGCAAACAGTGAAATGGATCAGGGCCCTCTTCTTATTGCATATGGCATCAGGCCTTTTCCTTTTTTTTTCTCCCCCCCCTGAATGCTGCTTGGACCTGACATCACTGGCTCAATACTTGACAGAGAGCATGAATGTTGCAGCAGCATTAATTGCTGCTTTCTTTGTTACCAGTTGACAACTATAAAGGCTGTTCAAGATCACAGGAGGATTTTAAAGCCTTGATTCTCATAAATCAGCTGCAGAATAGGGGGGGCTTCTCAGCTGGACTGGTCAAGAACCCAAAAACACAATAATATTTAAAGGATGAGCCACCAAGATGGTCTGTTTCATACCTCCAAGTGCACTCAACCTTAAAGCATGGATGGCATCCATCCCTGTAAACAATACAGGTGCTGGTCATAAAATTAGAATATCATGAAAAAGTAGATTGATTTCAGTAATTCCATTTAAAAAGTGAAACTTGTATATTATATTCATACATTACATACAAACTCATATATTTCATATGTTTATTTTGTTTAATTTTGATGATTACAAATGACAACAAATGAAAATCTCAAATTCATCATATCAGAAAATTAGAATATTACTGAAGACCAATAAAAACAAAGGATTTATAGAAATGTTGGCCAACTGAAAAGTATGAACATGAAAAGTATGAGCATGTACAGCACTCAGTATTTAGTTGGGCCTCCTTTGGCCTGTATTACTGCAGCAATGCGGCGTGGCATGGAGTCGATCAGTCTGTGGCACTGCTCAGGTGTTATGATAGCCCAGGTTGCTCTAATAGTGGCTTTTAGCTCTTCTGAATTGTTGGGTCTGGTGTATTGCATCTTCTTCTTCACAATACCCCATAGATTTTCTATGGGGTTAAGGTCAGGAGAGTTTGCTGGCCAATTAAGAACAGGGATACCATGGTCCTTCAACCAGGTACTGGTAGCTTTGGCACTGTGTGCAGGTGCCAAGTCCTGTTGGAAAATGAAATCTGCATCTCCAAAAAGTTGGTCAGCTGCAGGAAGCATGAAGTGCTCTAAAACTTCCTGGTATGTGGCTGCGTTGACCCTGGACCTCAGAAAACACAATGGACCAACACCAGCAGATGACATGGCACCCCAAACCATCACTGACTGTGGAAACTTTACACTGGACTTCAAGCAACGTGGATGAAGTGCCTCTCTTCTTTTCCTCCAGACTCTGGGACCTTGATTTCCAAAGGAAATGCAAAATTTACTTTCATCAGAGAACATGACTTTGGACCACTCACCAGCAGTCCAGTCCTGTTTCTCTTTAGCCCAGGCAAGACGCTTCTGACGCTGTCTGTGGTTCAAGAGTGGCTTGACACAAGGAATGCGACAGCAGAAACCCATGTCTTTCATACGTCTGTGTGTGGTGGTTCTTGAAGCACTCACTCCAGCTGCAGTCCACTCTTTGTGAATCTCCCCCACATTTTTGAAGGGGTTTTGTTTCACAATCCTCTCCAGGGTGCGGTTATCTCTCTTGCTTGTACACTTTTTTCGACCACATCTTTTCCTTCCCTTCGCCTCTCTATTAATGTGCTTGGACACTGAGCTCTGTGAACAGCCAGCCTCTTTAGCGATGACCTTTTGTGTCTTGCCCTCCTTGTGCAAGGTGTCGATGGTCGTCTTTTGGACAACTGTCAAGTCAGCAGTCTTCCCCATGATTGTGTAGCCTATAGAACTAGACTGAAAGACCATTTAAAGGCTTTTGCAGGTGGTTTGAGTTAATTAGCTGATTAGAGTGTGGCACCAGGGGCCATCAATTTTGAACCTTTTCACAATATTCTAATTTTCTGATATGATGAATTTGAGATTTTCATTTGTTGTCATTTGTAATCATCAAAATTAAACAAAATAAACATCTGAAATATATGAGTTTGTATGTAATGTATGAATATAATATACAAGTTTCACTTTTTAAATGGAATTACTGAAATCAATCTACTTTTTCATGATATTCTAATTTTATGACCAGCACCTGTATAGATGCATCCTACTGAGGAAAATATGCAGTTGATGCTTTTTGCTAAAACTAACAATACAGGTCCTTCTCAAAATATTACCTTATTGTGATAAAGTTCATTATTTTCCGTAATGTAATGATAAAATTTGAACATTCATATATTTTAGATTCATTGCACACTAATGAACACTTATAAGTACTTGAAGGTTGAAGTTTTTGGTATTAAGAACACTTTTAGTTTATTGGTTTGATGAAATATGCTAATTTTGTGAGATAGGAATTTTGAGCTGTATGCCAAAATAATCTGTATTAAGACAATGAAAGACCTGAAATATTTCAGTTAGTGTGCAATCAATCTAAAATATGTGAATGTTCAAGTTTTATCATTACATTATGGACAATAATAAACTTTATCACAATATGGTAATTATTTGAGAAGGACCTGTATTTCTGGTTAACCCTGCTGTCCAGACTCTGGAAGGATGAATAAAAGGACAGCTCAGACTGCAGTGTTTGATTTTTTTTATAAATCCAGTATGGATTAATCTGCTAGCCTGATAAATCAGACTAAATGTGAGATTAAATGTGTGATTCAGTCCGGCCCAGATGAATGAGACATCGGAAGATTGTTAATGAGAAAAACCCGTTGTCTTTCAAACCATGTCTGTGCATATTGGCCAACGCTCTGACCAATGAGAACAACTGACTGTGAAGTAGGAAGCGCGACAGGAAGCTGATGGGGGAGTGTAAATAAACAGCCTGTCGGTAAAACGGCGAATATGTCGTTATTAAAAATAAATTAGCGTAAAGCCTCTTCCTGCTCACGTTTCAACGAAAACCCCAAGTCTAATCCTTTGAAACTGATTCCAAATCTGAGTCAAACCAGAACTGTTCAATAGTTGTTGCCATCTTCCTTGTTGTGCAGCTTTGTCGTCCCGCCCTCAAAACCCTGCCCGCTTTGCATCCAGACATTCAAAAAACATCTCTGTGTTTTGATTGGCCTGCCAGTTCTAGGGCCTGGGGCATTAATCAAGGCTAGACCCACTCCCAGGCAAAAATTATTTTGGCCGCTGGCGGGTGGGGCTAGCCTACTAGGCTATTAATCTGGTGTTCTCCCTATATGGTTAACTTAGACAAACTTTGTCATTTTTTTCAAATAGGGTGCATACAATACGAAATTTCGTTCTGTACAGCTCTCAAGACATTTCCATTTATTAAAGTGGAAATGTCTTGAGAGCTGTACAGAACGAAATTTCGTTCTGTACAGCTCAAATGGACAAAATGGGGAACATGGTGATCAAATGTAAACATGAGACTAAGAGATATGATTTACAGTTTATCCAACATTGATATTTTTTCCCGTTATATTCAACATTCAGCAGTCTAATGGCAATAGGAAAGAAGTTGTTTTGGAATCCGCTGGGGGGGGGGGGCCTGTTTCTTTTTTAGTATTTGGTGGTTTCTTCTCTTGAGAAGCTGTGGCTGAAAAAGGTCTATATCTGGGTTAAACACAGATAGTTTTATAGAATTTACATGCATTGGTGTTCATGGACAGTGAGGTATATTAAGGCCTTTGAGCAATAGCCCCTTCAGTGTAGAATAGGGTTGAATATTCTTCATATTATTTATCGTTACGGGGATTAGTTGCTGATAACAATTTAGATTTATCATCTAAATGATAAATTAGAATCAATGATGAATATTAAATCTAGAAACTGGGTGAATTGTCCAAATTAACCCTTTTGCTAGTTTCATTTTTTTCCCATTGAACATTTTTAAAGAAAATGATTAAATGTGGTTACTACGAAATGTTTAGTGATATAAATCATGCTCCTTTTCAAAATTATGTCCTGAAGAAGCCAAATTGAAATGCGAATATTCTTTAAGAGTATTATTATTATTGTGATTGTGTGGCTATGATGGCTGTAAGCGGTCACAGCCATGCAGTTAGCTGAAAAAGACGTTTGTTTTTTAAGCTAATATTTCTAAAATATTGGAGTCTTATAAACATTGCTAAATAATTCTCAACAGTTTGTACATGTATTTATTGTGGGCATTCATTTTGTTTAGAGCAAGACTTTTAAATTATATAATGTGGTAAAAAAAAGCAATACTATTGTTAAATGTTGGAAATGCAGTGGTTCATAAATCCCTCTTCTGCAAAAATATCAGACTATTTTAGTTGTTTAATAAAACCATTCCATGCTTACATTATGGTTGTAAAGAATCTGTTTAATTTTGTGTTTATTTATTATTATTTTTATGGCATATAAACTTTTGACTTGACATTTCTGGCCTGTGTTACAGAGAAGTTGGACACCATTAGCATTGTGTTTCCAAAAGTTAGGATTTTTATTCAAATAGTGGTGGTTGAGCTGCAGAGATATATATTTTTAAGGCTGATACACATAATTTTAAGATCAGTCTCACAGATCCCTGACATGTGCTGCTGTGTTGTTGTTTTTTGGGTTAATTCT